TAGGCTGTCGCGCATTTTCTCCGAAACTACTATATCGATGTTTTTTTAAATTTGGATTTAAAATCAGAGGTCAGTATGATCCCACTTCATCGACATTTCTATACCCATTTCCTTTTAAGATGGAGACCGAAACATACTCCTATGAAAAGAACCTGGAAGAAAAGTTACGAGGGATGGGAAAATTAGATTCCGAATAACTCAAAAAGTATATTTTTTTGTCGCTATTGTATATGATTATTTAAATGTTCACGTAATTTCCTAAAAGACAAAAAAAAAAAAAAAAAGTCGTTAAGATCGGACAATTAAGAGCAAAGATGAGGTCTCTAGATATTTTTTATATGTTCTACTGAAAAGGTTATATCCTTTGTTTTGTTATTTTATTTTTGAATGTGTTATTGAAATAATACTATTTTTTTTAAAGCATATTACTAATGATGAAATAAAAATGTTTAGGCCATTAATTGGAATCACCTATTATTTCTTTTTCTTTGTCACTAGAAAGGTAATGTTACTTAAGATGTATAATTTTTGGGACATCATCCCATCCAGATTCTCAAACTTTCACCAGAACCTTATCCATCATCCAAATCCTCTAGCTCAATCCCTATCCAGCTCCCACCATCCCTACAATCCCCCTCGAAGGTTAAAACGGCAGTGGCCGCGAGATCTATTGTAAATATGCTTCTGGAGTCCTGGCAATGGCCAGCTTCTCCACTCAAGTCCTGAGCATCTGTGGCTCTAGTGCCCTCCTTCAGCCTCCACTGGCTTTTAATACTAGTGATGCGGCTGGAAAAGTGGCACTGATATCTCTGGAGTCCTGCTTTGCTTTCACATGTGGGGAGAAAAGCCTGGCTCGGAGATTCCTGGGCGAATGTATATATTGTATATAGGTATGAATGTGTTTAGAAGTTGTTATTTTATTTTGTTTGTTTATTTATTTTTTTTATTTTTATTTTTTTTTTCTATTGATTTACTTTTTTTTTTATAAGTATTATTTATTTACTTCTTATATTTATAGTTACTTCTGTATTACTTGTATATACTGTATGAATGAGAACTTTTAGCCTTAATACTTATAGCCCTCCAACAGTGGCTGATTGTATTATTATTCAATAAAAAAAAAAAAAAAATTTTGGGAAATAATAATTTGCAGCGTTTTTTATATAATGATTATTAATTTAATTCAAAATAATTGTAGCATGTTCTGATAAATAGATAGTTTTTAGCATCATATATCTATTAATGTACCACAGTATTTGTAAATTAATTTGGTTTTTAATTATGGCAAGGTGTAGGAGCACTAGCGGATCCAGGATTTAATTTTGGGGAGTGGCTTCAGCCCGAAAGAATTTTTTTTGTAAATATATATTATGGCAATTGCCTCAGAAGAAAGAAAGAAACTAAATATCTACATGAAATGGTGTTTAAATGATTTTTTAAGTCTTATTAACTTTAATTATACGAACAATAATACTTTTAGAGATAATATTTTTCAGAAAACATGGTTATATTTTACCATTTTGGGAGGGGGAGGACTTCAACTCGAAAGCCCCTCCCCCCCATAGATGCGCTTGTATGTAAGTGCATATTGGTTGTGGTCTCTTATTGTTTAGTCTGTGGAGGCGTTAACGTGCCTTCATGAAGCAATTCAAATATCTCATTTCTTAGTTCTTTCTAACTGATCTATTTCATTGAGGCTGAAAATGGGCTTTATAAAAATTGTAAAGCATTAGACTCACCGTCAACAAAGTACCAACATTTTAATGTATGTCAATTTCTCCTCTTGAAATCTTTCATTAATTAATTAATTAATTGGTTATAAAGCTAAGTGTGATTTTAATTATTTCAACTGTTGTTTATTCTACTGAGTTATTCTTGCAAAGAGTCTGCTATATGCAATACAGGTCTCTTATCCACCTCTCAGCAGCGATGGATTTTGAGAAACGAGGTGTCAAACGAAATCGAATTTCATGCAGAAGTGAAGAATCGAGAGGTATGATTCACTTACATTAAAAATGTTAGCACTCAGTCGACGCAGAATATGATTTTATACCATGAACGTTTTCTCTTAAAGTCATTTTATGTAATTTGTTAGGTAAAAATAATTATTATTGTTTATAATTATTATTATTATAAGTATATATAATATATATTTAAATAAGTATTATGCTCAAATAACAATAAACTAAAGCACGGATCCGTTGTGTTAACGTTTTCTGTCTCTCTGAATAATGCTACTTTATTGTTCACATTTCAGTAATTTGTAATCCACTTCAGTTTTTACTCTCAATTTTTAACGTAAAGATCCGTTGTATAACTCTAGGAAGCTAAGCAAGGAAGTATGTATCTATGAAATTTGTTCTAATTCCGGAATTATTCGATTTTTTTTTCGGAAAATTAAGTTAAAATATTTCTTTTTGTTTTCTATTTAATGTTACTTTTACAATTAGGTAATTTTAGACTGATTACCAATGACAGTCTACAATTTTTATTTATTTATTTTTTTAACTACTTTATTCCCAGAGAGCCACCATAGTGACCTGCACCATATTCATCTCTATAATACATTATAATAAATAAATTTAACAATTAACAATACATAATGTTACATAATTTCTTAAAAAATTGTCATACAATTATTTTCATTTTCATGCCGTACATTAATCCCTTATTTTTCTATTTAAAAGCATTAAAGATTGCAATAGTGTTCGTTCTTTGTGTCCAATATCCTTAAGTAATAACAATAAAAAATTTAAATCCATAACATACATTGACAAACTGACATATAATTTCATAAAAACATTAAAAAAATTAGTCATAGACAATTTCAAATTCAGTCTCAAACCCAGACATCCTATACGCAACTTACTGAGAAAGACAAAAGATCCAATCTATATTCAGAATCATAGAAATTTTGTTTGTAATACATAGTAAATTGTAAAAACTGTAAGAATAATATTTAAAATTATTGTGTTTTCACAGTGTTGGCCTTCGACATTCGGCATCTCCCGGGAATTGACGTCATCTCTCTCTACCCGTAAAAGAATAAATTTATTTCTTAAGCTGTTTTATATTATAAAATATTTGAATTTTATTTCAATCAACATTTCTCTAATACAGTTGTTTTATTGGATGACTAAAATTAATTATTTTAATACGTTTTGTATTTTTTTTTTACTCCTAACAAGTGGCGAGCATCTAGCAGAGAACTGGAACAACCGTCGATTCGTTCTCCTTGATCAGAAGAAAACTCCTATCATTTGGCCTTAAATATTGTTGTTTCAGAAGAAAACCATTTTTCCAATCACAAAACATGCGATGGCGACTTAAGTTTGTCAAAGAACACGAAAATTGGACGGAAGAAGAATGGAAGAAATTTTTATTAAGAGATGCGTAAAAATTTGAAATTGTTGTTTTTGGAAGGAGTTAGTATGCTCGAGAGGATTTGGAGAGGAATTTTCAGATGAGTATTTTCAACCAACAGTAAAATACGGCAGTGGGTTCTAAGTGGTTTGGGGATGTGTTTTTAGATCTGGATTTGGAGACCTCTTCTGAATAGAATGGTACCAACCACCACGGTGAATGGTACTATGGCATCCTTACATATCATACAATACCATCTTGGCTTTACCTGATTGGGCAGAACTTATTTTCAGCAAGATAATGATACAAAACATGGCATTTTGGGATTTCTTGAAATAAAAGTAACATTAAATGGAATAAAAAGAAGCAATTATGAAATGTTTAATTAAATTGCCGAAAACAAAATTCCAATATTAGGACAATTTTCACAGATACACTAACCTTTATAGAGTTTATACAAAGGTTCTTGACCTTAATAATAAAGAGTAAAAACTTAAGTGGATAACAAAGAAGTGAAATATGAACAGTAAGGTAGCATTATTCAGAGGATAAAAAAATATCTACACAACGCATTATTCTCTTGGCTCGTTTTAATTGAAATTTTGCTAATTTAAATATATTTTACATGTAAAATGTCTGCAAGGTTAAATCAGTTAACAAATAAGAACATAAAAATCCTTTTAAATTGAAAAATGTATCATTTTTTAACAGTCATTTTTACACCACTGTATACAAGTTAAAAAAATTCCCACCTTTCTTGCAGTATATTTCCTTTTTCGATCTTCGAATTACTGGCCTTATGTTCTCTTATGAGCTTTTTTTTAGCAAGACAATGATACAAAATATGGCATTTTGGGATTTCCTGAAATAAAAGCAATATTAAATAGAAAAAAAGAGAAGAAATTATGAAATATGGAATGTTTAATTTAATTACCGAAAAAAAAAATCCAATATTAGAACAATTTTCACAGATACACTAACCTTTATAGAGTTTATACAAAGGCTCTTGACCTTAATAATAAAGAGTAAAAACTTAAGTGGATAACAAAGAAGTGAAATATGAACAGTAAGGTAGCATTATTCAGAGGATAAAAAAACGTCTACACAACGCATTATTCTCTTGGCTCGTTTTAATTGAAATTTTGCTAATTTAAATATATTTTACATGTAAAATGTCTGCAAGGTTAAATCAGTTAACAACTAAGCAGATAAAAAACTTTTTAAATTGAAAAATGTATCATTTTTTAACAAAATTTGGTTTGTATGAAGTCTTTTTTACACCAACGTATACAAGTCAAAAGAATCCCCACATTTTTCCGCAGTATATTTTCTTTTTCTATCCTCAAATTACTGGCCTTACGTTCTTTAAATCAGCCTCCATTTTAAAAAGCAGCTGCTGTTAAATAAATAGAGACAAGATTCATTTTCCTTAGAATGATTTTGTAGTTTGCACTGAAACCTTCTCTTGCGATGAGCACCCTTTTTAGGGCTAGGCTACAGGACTATTAGGTTTCATTTAATTGACATCTTTGTTTCCCCCTCTTCATTGGCAGGTTGTGCCAATTAACGTTTTTAATAGTGCGTTTAACTTTTGTAAAACCCTGATACAGAAGAGATGGGAAGTATACCCGCCCCCCCTAAACGTTTCCAATATCCTCGCCAACGTGACCACCCGAGAGGCGGCTGCTAATTAGGGCGGTAACCGGAGATGGGGGGCTAAGGGCCTCGTTAGGCTGATGCATCGGCCCCGGGGGGCGGCAGGGGGGCGGCAGGGGAGTGCAGGGGGCTGCTATAAGAGCCCCGGGCCTCGGGTCCACTGCATTCCCAGCCATGCAGCTCCTCCTGGCACTCACAGCGCTCCTCGCAGCCGTCGCTGCCAACTCCCAGTTCGGCAAGTAGAACTTATCTCATCTAAGTACACTCTATACTATCACCCTCTTATCACTAATCACCAAGTTAAAAAAAAAAATCTAATATTCTATAATGCTTTTTATTGAGCGTAACAGAACTCTCAACAGTAGAGCCTAGAATACGGTTTCGCATCATGATCTAGGAGTTCATTAATGAATTTCTATACTCCCTCACAAGCATTGACTTTTATATTCATATTTTCTTTAAGAATTGCCGTACTGCGCTGTGCCCTGAATTATTCAGTCGATTTTTTTTTCCTACAGACCGAACAATGTTTGCAATTATCCATTAACAAAAATCACTATTCACTTGTCGTAAATGATATTATTCCGAATAATATTCCGTAATAATACTAAAGAACGATAGAACTGACTTATATAAGATAGAAAAATATATTGTCTAAACCAAGCTTGTTATTTCATGTTTTTTAAGTTTAGATATAGCAGGCTCCAGATTAGTAAACTCTGCAGATTTAAAATTATTTCTTTGTACCACAGATAAATTTATTTAGATATAGATAGTCACCTTTGTTTCAAGTTCAGGTTTTGGAGTACCGGAGACCGCTGAGAATGTACTTACCTGTACCGCATGAGTCACTGAGGGCGAAACTGTTCAGAGAAACATGTCTTTTTTTCCTAACAGAGACAGATCTTCCTCAACTTATGGCCAAAGACGTGCACTTCAAATGTTTTATAGTTGGACGGAAAGAAGTAGTACTACCAACCCACTTCTCTCTGGCACCGGGGAGGCCACCAGAATAGATAGAAGAAAAGAAAACCAGACGCAAGTGAAGAGAACAGCAAGTTGTCTGCATAGCTCAGAAACATAATGTAATATTTAAAAAATGCAGCAGTGGGTTGTTATGTAACAGTAATATCCCACTGCTGCAAATAACCGTATTGCCTTCAGGCAGGGGAGGGTTGAAAATAAATATGTAAGTTTAGATTTTCGCCAGCATCATTTGCTATTGTTTCTCTTAAGTTGGTAGTCTCCATAACTTCACTTATTAATACAAGACACCGGCACAGCAAGCAACAGGTGTTTTAGCTCGCTGAACCTTTTACTGTACCAATTCATTTTGCAATCACAAATTATAACACTAAATTATATACAAATGGAAAGAGAGAATGTCTCTGGATTTGCAAATAAAAAATACCGGGAAATAATTAATAAAATTCAAAATCCAAATAGATTCAATATAAATCTCGTGGTATCATTAGGCTTAAGAAAAGAAAATAGATCTCTTGGTGTTTAATATAGTAGTATTGGTTGCTTCTTTACATCGATATAAAACTTTAGATCTACATTTTTGCTTTTTGAATTTTTTCGTTGATATCAATGATTTATAGGGGGAAAATATTATTAACAACTGTACCACGATTTCCTCAGCTAATTCTGATTGCGGCTAGTGATGGGTTCGAACCAGGGGAGGGGAACCATAATTTTGTGGGATTTTATTTTTGGAACTTTCGAACCAGGGAACAAGAAAAACATGAAACAGACCATAGCAACTGTGATTTTTAATGAACTACTATTTTCTGGAATGAAAATAAATCTTAACTTCACAGATGGATATTGTACCCACATCACTTACAGCTCGTATAATCTGGAGTGTGTGAAATGATGGTACATATCAGTAAGAGATTAGAATTACAGTTACACACAATTTCTTTCCACTCTTTAAAACTATGAATTAAAAAAAAAATAAAAATATTATTCAATAGTATTTTATTCTGAAAAAACAACTTTGACTAGCTTCTTGAAGTAATTACTTCGAGTAATCAGATGAAGTCAAGTCTTCATCACAACCAACGGGGTGTTTAAAATTACTACCGACATTGCGATCGACAGACATTGCTTAGAAGCTTTTTGCTTTTAAAAAGCATTTTAAAGTTATTTTAAGAGGGATTTAGGAAAGTTACCATTGCCTTAAAATCTTATAATGGACTCTAATTATACCTACCGATTTTTTTTCAGACCCCAGCCTGGAAGACAGCTACGATATCGGGACTGAACAAATCATCTATGGACCTCAAATCAAGTAAGTTTTGACTGAAATAGATCATATTTTTTTTGGGAAATATAAAAATACTTTCTTGGGCAATCGAGAAATTTCAAATAATAGAAAAAAATTATTCCTGAACGTTAGGAAACTCAAATAGCTTGTTTTGAAAACTCGATATCTTTACAAATTAAGTTTGTGTAAGCTACTAAACTTCATGCAAGAATAATTTGCATTGAGAGTTGAAGATTACAATCTCTCAATTAATTTCAATAGGAGAATAGTATGGGATTTGTGGGAAGTTAAAGATGCATTTCTAAATGGATAGATCTATTTTCGATCAACTCTTGCTTATCTTCAGAATAGAAATATAATTTATATGATTGAAGAAATATTTATTAATTGCAGATAATCTGTTAATTTTAATACTACTAATATTTTTTTTCAATATTGTCTATACATATGTACTTTAATATAAGCTTATTTCTCCCCATAATATATAATAGCGTATTTACTGTGAATCGAAAAAAATAATAGCACTGTCGTGTCTTATTTCGATTCTCAACCAATAGACAAATTGTCTAATTAAATCAACGATCAATCGATAGATTGATTGTCTACTGCACACTCCATTCCTGAATCTATTTTCATCTAATAATCGTGACTGATAGCAGTGACCCAAGAGATAGTCTTCGATGATATATATTATATTAGTAATAATAGTAATGTAATATATTATAGACTTCCTGAATCTACACAGTAAAATGGACATACTCAAAAGATGACTGAGAAATATACCAGTTGTTTTTAAGCTTTTATCCCATGCTATAATATTTTTTCTATACCTCCTCCCAATATCTTTTCTGGTGTACTGAAAGGAGGAGAAAGGGATAGGTTATCCTGTAAGTAGCCAACCTATTCTAGTAAAAATGAAAGGTTGAGATTCATCCTGCGCATGCGCCACCAAATGAATTTCAATCCGCTAGACTCGAGATTAGTAAAAGATGACGCCTTAACAGCCTGCAGTTTTCATACTGGTATACACTCATGCTGGTAACTATAACTCTCTTCTCGAAGAAGATTCGTTTTTATTCCTGATGTTTCTTCCTTCTATCCCAGATTACTCCAGATAATATTCTAAGGAGTCTGGAAAATAAAGGCAAATAATCATTAGTCAAGTTCTATCACGTTTACCGATACATGGATGATATTGATCTCACATAATTATTAAATTGATATTTGAGATTGCATTTAACTGGGTTTGAAAATTTATTAATTTGAATAACGTAATATTCTGTTGATTTCGAGTCTTGTTTTTCCGTAATTCTGTTTTTTTGTTTAATTATATTTCATTTCCGTTGTACTATGATTGTTTTGGTTGTTGTTTATTTAATTTATTATTCATTATAATTGTTGTATTGAAGATGTAATATAACTGCTTGAGGACTGGTATCCAAAGTTCGAATGCTATGTTTGCGATTTTAATAAAACGAATAGGAGGTTCATTGTGATTAGATATCAACGATTATTTATTTTAGAAATATATTTAATTGAAATTGTATTAGTTTATTGATATATTTTTTAAATTATGCTATATTCATGATCCATCGAACGATTCACCTGGAGACGGCACTGTAATTTGCTTGTTGTATTAATTTAAATTTCACCTTATCTATATATTATATATAATTGTAGCAATGTGAATGTACGGAAGACCGACCTCTTCTTTTCAGGAGAGGGTGCATAGCCCGGGGAGGAAACTGTGACCACAGCTCGGCCGACTGCTGCGCGGGCACCGCATGCCGCTGCAACCTCTGGGGCGCCAACTGTCGCTGCCAGCGCAAGGGCATCTTCACCAAGTTCGGATGAGCTACGAGTTGTTTCATCTTTCTTAACATAACTTTATTAGAATAGTTTGAAATAAACAAATGCGAGCAACTAATTCAGTAGGATGCAGAACTAGTTTGTAGGAACTTTGTATTGCTTAGCGTATGTAAAATATACATTGTCCATATTTATTTTTATTTTTTTTGTTTTATTCCTTCCTAATTTACTTTAAACCTCATGCAATTCGATATTGGACCATTACCATAAAAACTATGTATTGATTGCTGCGGTGGGCTATGGATGAACACAAGAAGGTGCGGAACATAAATATGCCTCAAAGGATATCGTCTGAGTACACCCAATTCCAGGGTGTAAAAAATTGAAAAAAATTAAAAATAAACAATAGGCTTGAAAGAAACTAATTTTGTTAAATAAACCATTGTCTTACTTTCTTTTACAATGTTAAAAATTTTTATTTTATTTTTTTTTATTCATTGATATTTACAACTCTATTATAAAAAAATACAAATAGTAAATGTGCACACAGTAATAATACAACCACATGAAAATGCTTGTTGAGAAACTACCCATTGGTAGCACTCTAATAATATATCAGTAGATCACGAGGCCATCTTCTTTTCAGACGCCTCGAGGGGATGTTAAAACTTTAATCGATCTGTGTACAGTTTTTTTATTCATAAATGGAGAATATTTCTATGCACTACTAGAATAAAAAAGTGGTCATAATAATAATTACCAAAGATAAATTTTTTATTTTTAAATCTGAATTATTTGTAAATTAGTTATTTATATACATAGATAGATATATATAAACGACTTTATTTACAACACGTTAAGGTCATATGTCATAACCGAATAATCCTTATCGCAATTTATTTTTATGATAACAAATTGAAAAGGTAATTACAATACAAACAATATTTTTTCTTTAACAAGCTTTGATGAACAGCACTGCAACCGTTGCAAGTATCAGCCAAACGTAAGAATTTTGTTGTGGAGAGGGATCAGCCACATGAAGCCATCAGTTCATTGATCAGTACTAACAATTTGGGATTAACCGATATAGAAATTTTGGACGATACCGATAATTATCGGTACGTTGATATTCGCCATCATTTTATCGGGGTTTGTAAAGTTTCAGTTGGAAGGTTCTCTTCATTGGTGAATGAACGTGTTAATCATTCGTATAGGAATCGGTATAACGGCCTTGAAATGTCAGTATTTTGTTATATTTTATTATTTAACAAATTTTTATATTAATCCAGTAAAAGTATAATAAATGAATCATCCTTAATCAACTCATTAAAATGGAGAAGTACTACTCACAGAATCAATTGAACCTATTGTTAAAGAAATCATAAACATTACCTACATATTATTTCTAAAAAAGATTTTTTTCATTAAGTCAAAAAGATCGATACATCGGCTTGTACCAATATTCGGTCACAACACCTATATTAATATCGGCCTCAGTCCATCCTTACTATAAGCACTCCTTCATCACCCAATGCCCATAAAAAGTTAAGACAAAATGAATTCTCAGTTCTTACCCTAACATTTCGACTTATCTGTTCTATCAAGAAACCCACCATCCTTTTCTTACAGGATCACAGAACATAAATCGAAAGAAAATATACTATTTATGTGAGCCAAGCAACAAACTGAACACATTACTAATATATTTCAAAAGAAATCGCTTGTTTTTTAAGTTTTTAACGAAAATACATATTTTGCAATTTTCACTAATACGGTTATACCATTACAAACCGACTTACGACAAACAACTACTGAGCAAAACATACATACATTTTACTACCGATTACATATTAAACTACATACGATACAACAGACTTATAAACGACATGGCCACGACTGACATACCCACCAGGAGCCGACCGAAAAGGAGTTGGATCAGAGATCTTCTTTTCTGATATAAGGAAGTAAACAAAGTCCAGGAAGAGGTTTTGCTGGATGCTGTGCTTCCTCATCCCTAAAATGCTGTCATTTAATTTAACAACACATCTGCTGATTATCATATTCATTACAGATACGGAGGAAGGTTAAACGAGGAAAATATGTTTATAAATAAAAAGCACTAATAAATACAGGATTTTTTAAAATTTATTTATTTAGACATATAATAATCTGTCCCGTGGACAATAATTATAGTGATATATGAACACATCCATACCATATATACAGAAAATATAAAGAAAGTAAAATAATAACTAAACAATTAAAGGTAAGTAAATTAAAAACGTAAAAACACAGTCAAACCTATATAAATATATACAATCAGGCAGAGAGCCAGGCTTCTTCCTCGAACTATAGAAGGAAAAGCAGGACCCTAAGAGATCCCTGTGCTACTCTCTCAACCGTGTCACTGGTGCTAAAGTCAGTGGAGTTTGAGCGAGAGCGCTTTAGCCACATACACTGATATCATGAGTGGAGAATCTGGCCATTGCCAGAACTCCAAGATATATACTACAAAAGATCTTGGGGCCATTACCGCTTCAACCTTCGAGGAGGATTGTTGGGATGAATGGAACTAGATAGGGATTGCGCTAGGAGATTTGGATGAAATTTGGAACAATTTTCAGGGATAAGGTCAAGGACAAATGGGACATTAAGGTCATGATGTAGGTTTTTGTTGGTTACATAGAAAGGAGCATCGACTATTGTTCGGAGGACTTTCGATTGAAAGGATTGGATGCGTTTGATGTTAGAAAATTTTACTGTACCCCAAAGTTCAAGTCCATATGTCCAAATATGTTTCAGGATTGTCTTGTAGATCAGTAATTTGTTGTCAATTGAAAGTTGAGATTTCCCAGTCACCAGTCTGTATAATTGGCCGTATCGTCGGTTAAGTTTACTTTAATGCGCCATTTATTATACCAGTGCTCAATCAGGGTCTTTGCAGATTTAAAGATACTGTTTAGGGATCTGAGTTGGATGACAAGGATTTATCTATTTGATATTATACTTCTATTATTATCTATTAACTATTAAATTTCGGTGACTAGTGAATGAACAATTATTAGGACGGGCCAGTATAATAATTTAATAAAAGAAACCTTGAGAACTTTGGTTGAGCACCAACTAGAATGAAGATGACGTTAAATATTTAAAATGAGATGGAAAGTTAAAAGGGCCGTTATCCGGGAAGGGGCTTGACTTCAAGAATCATCAACTCGTCCAGAAATCTGCGGAAATGGTGCTTTTAACGTGGAGGGGCGGCTCTTTCCATTTGGGGCATGAATATACAAAAGTGAAAAATTAACAAAAGAATCAAGGATTAAATGGAATTCGTAAATATTGTAAAGTTATACCTACTATTGGTATTGAATGGAGTTGCGTTTCATTGATGGGCGAAAGAAAGGCCCCCTAAATGTTTAATGCTAATGCCTTAGACGAGGGCCCCCCAGACGACACTGGGCAGGCGCCGCGGGGGCTATATTAAGGGGGCGGCGAGGGAGGCGGCAGAGCACTCGCCACGATGCGGCCGCAGCTGATCCTCCTCCTCTGCTTGGCAGCCGCCGTGTCAGCCGCGTCTCCTCACTACTTCGACGACGGTGAGTCTTCATCTTACAGCCCTCGCGGTTCAGGCGCCAATATCCATTGAAAATAAAATGAATGGTCATAATGTTCCACTTGGTATTTTTGTTATATATCTTAATTAGAAACATGGAATGGATAAAAAAAAAAAATTCCTACCAGTCATATTTATGAATTCATTTTATTCATACAGTAATGAATACACCTTATAAGGCCTAAAGTAATGTATATTTTTTTTTTTGTATTTTGAGATTTGTTATTTGATTCATTTGTAAATCGTATGCCATCGTGAATCAGATTCTTATCGCCTTAGCAAGTAAATACATGAAGTGAAACTTAAAAAGTGGCATGATTGCTGAAGAAAACTGGATAAAAATGCTAATAAATTTAAGTAATGGAAAATACATTTCCTTAATTTGTAAACATTTCTACAAATAAAAACATTACTTTAAAAACGATTAACGATACTCCTTACCTCCTCATTAAAAAAGGTGAAAGGAATATAAATATATTTAGGTACACTAATGTATACTAGTAAAGTATGGATATCTTATTTTATTTTGTCCTGATTACGAATATATACCTATGTAGGTACATTACCTAGAACTATATGTTAACTGTAAAAAAATGTTTAATTTTATTCCATGAAACTGAAAAAAAAACCATACGTGTCTTGAATGCCTGTTGCCGTCTTATAGCTCATCGAACTTACCGCATGGTGTGTTGGTTTAGAGAACTGATTTAAATGCACAAAATTAATGCAAGATTTTTTAATAAATCTGGTACAGATTTCAAACTTTGTGAACAAATTATACAGATAGCTTCTAGACAAGCCCTACCGTACCTTCCAACATTACTTCATTAAAACACATAATTATATATTGGAATAATTGTTCCACAAGTGAAGAGATTATTTGAGAGCTGTAAAAGCTGAAAACAGTCAAGATTCAGAAAATTTCTGCTGTCTATTTTTGATAATCCTTTTATGTAAATGAAAATCTTCGATTGAAACAGGCATTTCACATTTTACACGATATTTCGTTTCTTCAAATTTCTTAAATAAGTATTACTAAAATTAAAGCGTTTAGAATGTTTAATTAAAAATATAATTTATTCTTCCAAAACATATGGCTCCTCTTTCTGATTAGTATTCGCTTTGGACTGCCAGGAAAGTATAAGAAAGTGTTGAATTCGGAGGATACGAACGTGGGATCACTAATTTCAATTAAACTTATTTTGGTCATACTGTATCGGAACATACTATGACTAATGTTCTTGGGTTTTTTTTTATTTTTCATTTTTATGTAATTTTTGTATTGTATTATTTTCTGCCTTTGCTTTGTACAGGTTTCCAGTTTATAATGTACCAATCGATTGGTTTTTTTAATTACAATAAGGAAAAAGTATTGCTGACTGCATTAAATGAATTCAAATGAATGTACAAGAAATTATAAAAACTGCAAAACGTTCCTAGTGAAGAAAGGCCGAGTTAACATTGATGATAAAAAAAGCATTTCGGAATAGTTTCTCTAAAACTCTTTAAAACAGTTGTTCATTGAAATGAAAAAATATAAATTTGTGAGTTTCAGGGATTTTTTTTCTGCCGTCCACTAAAGCATTCAGACTCCAGGACTTTCTATCCAAAGTCACCATTATTAAGTCTAAACCTGAATTACTGTTCTTCCAATTTATAAGGCAATATATATATATATATATATATATATATATATATATATATATGTGTGTGTGTGTGTGTGTGTGTCACAACGTTTTAAAATAATAATATAATTTTTGTTCGGTCCCAAGAGCGATTAAATATAACCAATAAATGTTTCATTAAAATAAATGATTCAACGTTAATAATCTTCCCTATAGTGATTTCAATGATTTGGATCTTACCGACTTTCTTTCTATCTATTTTTTTTTTTTTGAGAATTTTTAAAAATAAAATGTTTCATATTGAGATTTTTTTTTATTCTACTACTGACATTTAGGGTTGTACTAGTTATTCTGTACTAACAAAATAGCAGTAATTAACGCTTCCACAAAATACAGATGACTCTACTACACGTTGACGGCCATGTCATGGAAGTCATTACGAGAGAGGTAGCCCACCCACGGCATGTCAGATAAAGTTGTTAATGAACGCCATAGTGGAGAAATAATGTTCAGCCATTTCAAGCTCCAACGTGAAGTCTTTCTCAATAATGATATGTCTTGACGGCTTAAAGTAATGTAGGGATTAATATAAAAACTTCCATTAACTTAACTAATAATCACTGATCAGGCTTCAATAGTATTTGTGCAATGCCTGTATTGTATTCTTCAGTTTATTATAAAAAAATTAAAATAATATAAATTAACTAATAACTTTTACAACAATAATTAAAAAAAAGGTTTAGCTAAACCGAAATGTTCATGAGGATACAATGGGGGATATTCAGGTACATCCCAACTGATTTCCGTGAATACTGAAATCTACAGCTCAATCAGAAACAGTTCAATCAGAAAACGAATCTACCGCCTACACTTTCCTCAAAAAGCTTCAGTGCTTATTACAATTGTTATTGATTGGTTTTTTTTTATGAAAACCAATAACTTTATCGGACTATTACATAACATTGCGGTCTTATTACATAATTATATTTACCGAATAGATATCTTACCATTTCGCGTTATGGAGTCTCCCATATTTCCAATATTCTTCTTTCTTCGGGCTAAATATTGTTCTACACAGATGTTTACTGTTGAAAAACTTGTTCAAGGAAGGCGTGGTCCTTCCTTTAATGTACATATCCACGTTTTGCATTGGTAAAGAGCAGTAAATTAGTGTTCCTCCAAACTATGTTATTTTGAAGCGTGAAAGATTACCGTTGATATTTATCCATATTTATTTCAAGATCTATTTTCGTATTGGCTCCCATTGATTTCGTATTTAATTTTGAAATTTCCCGTTTCTTAACCTATTAGTAACACTAACATTTAATCAAGATCGAGTATTTAATCACTCACAGTTAAAACATTTTTTAGTGCGATCATACATTCAAATGAAATATTCTGGTTTAAAATTGAAAATGAATATTGTGATGTTTTATTTCATTCAACTACTTCATTACAGATCAGTGTCCATATGGCAACGATAATATTACTCAATTTTACTTTCCTAGCTATACTAGGTAAGGAAAGTATTGCAATCGGGTCAAATTTCCGACATGCGGTTTTCGACGGATCTATACGTTTCACAGCCCCCTGAGTACGAAAAAACACATCTTTAGCCATTGGTCTGTCTGTCTGTGCCAAGATTTTCTCGGGAACTATTGAACCCATTTTGTTGCTCCTTTTTTTATTTTGTAGTGTTTTGACTACTGATGCCTGTGACAGAAATTCGTTGCTCCATGCGCAATAGCTTGCGCACTATAAATGAAAAACATGTTTTTTTTATAAACTGTAGCCCGAAAACGGCTTTAACGATTTTGATGAAACTTTTCTATGATGTTCTAATCATTGTCCTTTCAATTTTCGTATATAGACTAAATTCCCGAAAAAATTCAGGAAAAAAAGTTATAAAGAAAAGAAAAATGTTATGGGGCCTAACTCCCTAAGTATATATTATACGCTAAAATTTATAATAAAACTTTTGAAAGGTTATTAAAGTACCAACAAAGCCATATATAGCCATATAAAGCCAAATCGTTCATTTTGGACAACTATTAACGAAGTTACAGCTATTCAACTTCCAATGAAAGATTACGAGTTCATTTCCTGGTGTCAGAAACGGGTGAATGGGAGAATAAAGATGAATAAAGTGAAAGTAAGAAAGTCTGTTGCCCGAATCACACAACCTTCACTATTTTCTCTACTTTTAACAGAAATTATTGTTTGACAATACTAAGGTATGGCAAAACGGTTTTGATCAGCAATATTAGTGAGTATTGAATTTTTTTAGGAAAGTCGTGTGAGTGGACACACCAGATATTTTAATAAAACAGCCAAACAATATTTATCAAATCCAAATGTTGAAAAAATAAGTATAGTGAAAAAAAGATCATTAATGCCATTAACGAAATTGTTAAAGAAGGATCCATCCGCCCTCTTTTTCCAGAAGAACAATTCAGGAAAAGTGCTTCAACCTGTTACTTTATAAATGAGCTCTCAGTTTTCAAGTGGTATTCGGTGTGTGGCGTGTTTTTCTATCTGCCTACTCACCTCGGTTGATATTTTATTTAAGAGCTACCTATTCTATACTTATAGAGTGCTTTTTATAATTTTTTCTAACCATTTAATATTTTTTTTTTTTTCGTCAGTGCTTACTTGATAAATTACAATTGACCGAGTGGATGCTTTAAGATTATTTAAAAACAAATATACGCTTTTTAACCGTAACCGATAAAAACAGATTAAATTTGAATAAGCACGTGTTTTTAGAATTGTTAAAGATGTTTGACGTTTAAAAATATACATGATAAATAACACGGTTTGTTCTAAAGACGAGACGTTAGAAGTTAAACCATCAACAAGGCGGGATTAAGATTATGAAATATATTTTTTTTTGTCCCATAAGGTCAATTAATATATGACAATTATGCAGTATTGGTACTTTTTATAAATAAAACTTCTGTAACGAGAGTCAATAATTTGCTGAAACACTATTGGGTGCAGCAGAGAATAGAATAGAAACAGTTCATTTCTTATTTTGAGGGATAATTAAAAACAAATATAGTTCTGAATTCTCCCATTTTTATCTTTTTAAAAATCTAAATGTTTAAAATAACTTGTAATCATTTTGGTTTTGGACTCTTTTTCTTTTTCTCTAACACAGCGTGCAGTGGTCTAAAGCGGTAAAACCTCTATTTTCAAGGTTTTGATAGATGATAATTCGAATTTGTATGATTTTAATGTCTGACATAGTTAACTTATATATTTCTAAAGTTTAGGCACTAACAAAAACACCTGGTTTTAAAGATATTCAATAAAATATAAATAAAAAGCCTGTTTCTGTCACATGCTACTTATTATAAATTATTAAATA